ACTGCATGTGACTGAATAAAGCAATTCATTTTAGGTTGATCCAACAATTCTTTGTTTTCTGTGCAAACTCTGGAAATTGATGGATGGATACAACAAGTTCATGATGCTAACCTCATACTCGTACTCCTCGGTCCTCTCCACCTCTGCTGGGGTATTGGACAGATATTCTGGACATTCATAAAACTCGTGTTCCATGGTGTGGATGGAATGACAGCTACAGAGAAAAAAAGAAAAGAAGCAGTTAGATCATTATTGTATGTCCAAAGATGCAAGTGGCTTCATGTTGGTTGCCTTTTTTTGCTCTACGACACCATTTTTATCCGTATTAAATGACTTCTTGTTCCATCAAATGGGCATGTTATCATCTTTTCCTAGTTTTTTAGGCCACTTTTATAGAAATGGATTTCCAGCTTTGTAAAAAAAAAAAAAAAGTCCAAAACACCAATGTAGACTTCAACCATTCCCCTTATAAAAGCCATGACCTCTGTAAATGGTGACCATGAGAACTGCCTTCCCATAATCACTGACCAAGTCTAGCAGATTTGTAGTTTTATGGGACAAATTGATTTCATTTGCTGCCCGGCAAAGCCCTATAAATAGCCACAGAATGAATGTAGCATCAGAATGCCTGCTCCATCAGCCCATTGGCTTTTAATCGCCCAGCAAAAGCACCCATTAAAGAAAATGGATGTAGCACACCGAAGCAATTATTGCATGCGGGTTTGGCTCTGCATAATGATATCACAGTACTTAGCTTTGTTGGGGGGTTTCCACACTGAGATACGGCTGCTTAATAGCTACTGTGAAATGAAAGAGAAGAGCGGTGGAACCTCAGGGAGGGAAAAAAAAACGATTTCTCAGCCGTGGTTAGGAAGGATTTCCAACCTGTCTGTGTCACCTCAGCGTGCGGCGTGAACACTTGCTTGCTTTTATAGCTGTAATGTTTTCCTACAAGCGCTCGGCCTCACCTGTCAGACAGCAGGAAGGGACAGATGTCAGGGACCGGCGGGGTAGCGGGCCGCAGCTTAGCCAGCGCCATGATGTGCTCGAAGGTGATGTCCGTTTGCGTGCAGACGTCGACCACACACACGTCTTGCGGTGCGCCGCTGTGGTTGTGCACGACGGCGGCCGTGGCTCTGGTGGGCGTTCGCCGGAGCACCTGGACAACAATGGGGTCTCGCCTGATGGCCTCCACCACCGCCTCGTCATGTTCCGCCTTGGAGAAGTCGCGCCCGTTCACCTTAGGGAAAAGAGAGTCTCGTTAGGTGAGTCTTTGGCGACTAATGAACAATCCGCGGGGAAGACGTGAGTGAGAAGCGGAGGAAGAGGCGGCTTTTTTTAAAACCTTCAAATACCCACTGAGATCTGTCACTCATATCGCGGTTGTTTCGGCAGCAGCTTATTTCACATTCACACCTGGAAACCTTACAATACCTTTACAAGTCTCTACAGTTAGGAGCTGAATGACTTCCTATAAAGCAACTTCAAGTTAAGTGCTTTTATAAAGGGCACTTTGGCAGTAATTCTTGACAGAGAGAGCCCATTACATCTCCTCCCTATTTTACCTACACAGTACACTTTTCCTCGCAGGTTCAGACATTTTAACTGCTGACCAGTTCTTCAAAAAATGTGCTAACCTTTAGGCGATGAGAGAATTTACAGAACCTGTATAATGTGCTGGATTCCAGCATTTGCTGAAGGAGTAAAAAAAAAAACTCCCAAAAGCCTGCTTTAATGAGTGCGTTTCATCTCATTGTGTTTTGCCTCGGCATTCATTTTCAAATCAATCTAACTCAGATGCATTATTTACATTTAATTCCTACCATTAAGCCCATTAGACCAAGAATAATAGCACTGATTTTACACAGTTGAGCTGGAAAGTAGGGAGAAGCAGAAGTGTGGACCTTGCTAGCTGCACAAAAACACAGTTTTAGTAAGCAGAGTCTACTTCATTCACAGTATCAGAAAAGGTTGTGGCACAAGGGACTCAGCTCAGAACAGGTGTTCTCCTGTAAGACGCCACACTGAAGGTTGTCAATGTGAGAACACACATGTATGGATTTACTTCATCTATTGTGCTCTTTGTGTTACCCAATTACAGGCTTTGTCTGCTCTGAAACATTCAGTTTATTTTCAGTCTGTCATATCATGAAATGTATTGTGTACATTGATTTGAAATGCCTGAGAGTGTTTGTAAAGGGCTTAAACTGTGAAAGCAAATGCCAAACACCAGCATCGTTATTGGTCAGACAACTCGAAACATGCAATGATGCGTACTGAAATGCTTTTATTTACTCTCTGGGAAGCGTTTAGTAGCAGCAAATTGGACACTATGTAAATCTGTTAAAATAAACTGTGAACATAACTTACAGTTTTGGCCCCTTTAAGGATTAGCATGAATTTTTTTTTTTACAATTCTTCTGTTTAAGTGGACTTTCTTATCTGGAAAAAACAAAAAAACTAGCAGGGAAAATCTGTAAAATAACAGTTAAATGATTTGGCATTTTCAATCCTCTACATATGTAGAAGTCTTTTTTTTTCCGATAATGGAAAATATCTGTAAATAATACTTTTTTGCTGATTTAAATAAAGTGAAGAAAAGAGTGAATAGATATTGTAATAAATATTATAAAAATAATTTAAAAATACAGATTTTTGTACATGAACGCCACATTGACAATCCACTTTAAGACGAGTCTGTAAATGAATACTTTTTTTCTGTGATTTTACTGTATATTATCTGTAATTTAACATAACAAGAGAAAAAATATGAGTTACAGCAAAAGAAATACTGTTAAAAAAAAATTTTTCTTAAAAAAGAATAAAATATTTTTGATTTTTTTTTTTTTGTTGTTGTTGTTTGTACTGGTTGTTGTAGTAGTACCAACAGTGAGCTGACCATCAGAGCACACCCCACAATGGCCTCTACAGCTATGATGGCGTTCCAGCTAGCTACATCAAACATGTGACCTTCCTCATTTCATCAAACAGTTGTCCTCTGCTCATATTAACTTCATTTCAGTATCCAATCTTCCCAAAAAAGCACAGAGAAAGTTCCATAACATTTTGAAGTTGTAATGAGGTCCAGATGGACACATTAATCTCCAATCAGTGGGAATGCTCTGGAAGGCAGGAAGTGATTGTGCAGGTACACCTGCCGGTGTGTTTACCTGCTGTTGTCCCTCCATTCAATCTGCTTGTTGATGAGCTAACTGGGAGCTGATTAATAGCCAGCAGATGTGACAAAGACCAGGGATAATGGCTCAGAACATGCAGGCTTCATGTGTGTGTGTGTGGGTGTTTGTGGGCATCACGCATTTGGACATAATATACACTGAATTTACAACATTAGGGATAATTAAGCCACAAATGAGGAGATAAAGAGGAGCAGACAAGTTGGAGAAGGGGTTTTAAAAGCTTTAAGCCAATTGAGATGTGGATTGTGCGAAAAGGTTGTGAATGAAGAAGTTCATTCACGCGTTTCCTTTCCTTATGTCCACTTACGCTTTAAGTGCATATTTCATTACTATGTTAGTCATGCTATTGTCTATTTTTAATCACACAAAGTCTGCACTGAAGCTGTAGTGACACATAAAGCATCCTTTCTGTTTATTGTTCCGTTATCTTACTGTTATTTATATATTAGTGTTTGCTCATGCAAAGACTGCAGTTTAATTTATTTCTAATGGCTACCCTCCTTTCACTATGTGTGTGTGTGTGTGTGGCTTGAATAAGCATGTATGGGAGCTTCACATGCAGTAGATGAGACATACAGATGTGTGGCTTCCATCAATATCAAGCAGTAATTCCATTTTGATTACAAGATCCTTCTCTCATTACTCAACTGTGACCAAGACGACGAAGAGACAATAACACATCATTACATCATCTGATAGGACCCACCAAAGCTACTGCGAGAACACTAAAAATAGTGGGAGTTCACAGCAGCCCATAGGGACGGCAGTAATGAACCAACAATCTAGCGCAGCCTTCATATACCTCTCAAGTTAAAGGTTATCATTGCCAATAAAAATGGCTCCCAGTAGCCCTAAAGCAGCGCTTCTGGTCTGTCCAAACACTCCTTCCTTAAAGGTCAGGGTTCAAAGTGGTGTGTTTGATACACTTTGAGGAATGAATATAGTGAAGCTTGTGTGTGTGTTTCTACTTTGTGAGTGCAGTGTGTGTGTCCATCATCGATCTTATGGCCTTTAGCGGAAATGTCATTTGCCTTATTTTGGACCATTTTGTATGTTCATTATTTTGCTTTGATATTTACATGTTATGTTTCATTTCTCCATATTTCAGTGGAAATGTTGCATCTTTAAAGCTACAGTGTTGAGAAAAAACAAAGCGCTGGGACCTAAATATGTGATTTAAATGTAGTTTAACCATGTTAAACCACACTGTGGGGCAGTTCCAACCATTGGTCTGCTAACTTAAGCTAGCTAGTTAACCTTGAGCAAAACGAGGTTTGCACTGGCTCAAGTCTTTCCTTAACTATGTTTGCATTTGGGGGTAAATTTGAGCTAAAACCCACCAGATCTCCTGACCCTGCACCCTACCATCAAGATTCAGTATCACAGCATCACCAACTCCTATACTTAGCTCTTGAAATCTACTTGAAGACGCTGCTTGCACTGAACAAACAGAGAATGTCGCCCTCTCTTATTTGAACAGCTGCAGAATCACATAGCAGCACATTAGATACTGTTTCCAAACTGAGAGGTCGACTGTGTGTGAATTCCACATGTGGCAGTAACGTTGCTTTTCCTGCAGAGCAAACAACTGAGCTGCTGCACAGATTAACCGTTCTTACAGTTTTTCTCAGTAAAATTATATATTCAGCATCCAAATATGGTTTCCACTGGAGGATCACTGCATTTTTTTGTGGCGTATTAAGGGGATAATTAAAGAGTTTGCAATGCTGCTGTTTAAATACAATAACATTTGTTCACCCAATCTTGAAAACACTGTTTATTGTACTTAAGTTGGATCAGTGCATAGATATATCAATTTTTATGTATGGCAGGAGTGTCAGTGTTTCATTAAATATGACTAAAAAACAATTTAATTACTGTTTTGCAAAGATAATAGTTTATTTTCTTCAGATTTGTTACAAATGTTGCTTCATTTAAATTACCCAAAAGCTACAGATTGCTCACAATAAAATCAAGCAAATATGAGAATGCTCCTACCTCGTGATATCTGGGTGCTAAGATAGCGTTTATATCAAATGTCTGACTCACATTTTACCAATAGAACAGACACGAATGGGATAAAAAAAAAAATTTGTGTGTTTTTTTTGTTTCAATAAACGACCTTTGAAAAATTTAGCTGCAGCATCTTTTTCCAGAAACAGTGTTTTGGTAATCGTCCACAACTATAGAACAGTAGAAAAACAACTTTCTACTGAAGAAACAGTCCCTGCTTCTGTTGTGTGCAATCTGGTTTGTGAGCCCTGATTTCACCAGATAGGAGCTTGGCTTCCTCACAAATCCCAACTTAACCCTTGGATTTAGCGATAGCATAACATACGTGTGACCATAAACTGACATAATATTACATCACAACATGAAAAAAGATTTTTGACTAGAAGAATGTGGATGAATTTGTCGCTAGGTAAGGCTAACTGCGGCTCTGTATTGTATATCAGTTCATTTAAGTGTTGTTTAGCACCATCTGATAATAGCAAAAAGGCAGCTGCACTGAAACAGGAAGTAATGTTCTAGAAGCTTCCATTTGACCTTCTGGGTTCAGAGTGAACATGGAAAATCTGTACTCATCCAGTTAATCCTTGCATGAAAGTCCACATAAACGGCTTCATCCATAAGTTACGCACTGTTGAATATTACGTTAACATGTTTATGTTACTATTTCTGTACTTTGAATATATATACTTTGTGTTTTGGAGACCAGCTAGCTGTTAGCGCCGGGTAAACGTGCTAGTCCTGTGGTTAAGGTTATGTGTGTGTTTGCAAACTATTTACATATTTACATTTCTCTGCATGTATGTATAGACATTTGTGCATCTGAGACACTTGTATAAGTTAATTATCACCTGATTTGACGGTGTAGCAGAAGTACTTTTTGTTACTTATATTTGTATTGTTTTGTTCTTTTTCAGTTTCACAAAATGAAAAGTATGAATATTTCCATTTATTAAATCCTGCCAAATACATCACCTGCCTGATCCTTGGAGGATGCAACATTGGAGAATATGAGTACTATGCATAGACTGTA